AGTCAGTCTGAATTTCTTTAATAGTTTGGAAGTAATTCAGGAGTAAATTGTTTAGTTTCCTTATATTTGTGCATTTTTGAAGGCTCTTTCAGTTTACAGTTTAATTCCATTGTGGTCAGTGAACATACTAGCTATAGTTATATACTTTTATATTTTTGAAGAGTTGTTTTGTTTCCTATGATGTGGTCAGTTTTTGAAAATGTTCTATGTGTGGCTGAAAAAATGTGTATTTAATAGTTGTTGGGAGAAATGTTCTATTCTATAAATGTGTCAAATCCATTTGGCTTATCGATCATTCAGGTTATAGTATCTTTGTTTCTTTTCTATCTGGATCACTTATCCAGTGGTGACAGTGGGGTATTGAAATGTCTAACAATTAGGGTGTTGTAGTCTATCTTCCTCTTGATCTAGAAAGTCTTTCTTTTATGTATTTTGGTGCTCTAGTGTTGGGTACATAGGTATTTGTAATTGTTTTATCTTCTTGTTGAATTAACCCCTTTAGTACAATATAGTGTCCTTCTTTGTCTCTTTATACAGTTGTTTTTATCATAACATCTATTTTGTTAGGTATCAGCATTGTGACTTCAATCTTTTTTGTTCCTTTGTTTCTGTTTGCATGAAATGCCCTTTTCATGACCTTCTCTTTAAATCTATGTATGTCATTATCAATGAGGTGCATTTCTTGTAAGCAGGCTCCTGTTTATTTATCCATCCAGCCATCTGGGTTTTTTAATTGGGGAATTTAGTCTATTAATATTCAGCATTATTATTGATAATGTGTGAACTTATCCCTGTCATTCGTTAGACATTTTCTTAGTTGTTTTGTATCTTCTTATTTCCACTTGTCTCTTTCATTTTCTTAATGTAGTATTCTCTTAAGTATTTCTTGAAGAGGTGGTCTACTGTTGGTGGATGTTTTTCAGTTTTTCTTTATCTGAAAATGATTTTGTTTCTCCTTCTCATCTCAAGGATAATCTTCCTGCATATGGTATACTTGGTTGAATTTTTTTTCTTTCAAAGTCTTCAAATTTCTTCCTTGCCTGCATTGTTTCTGTTGAGAGGTCTGAGATTAGTATGATAGGATAACCTTTGTAAGCAACTTGGTGTTTTCTCTTGTCATTTTTTCTCTTACCAATTTGGATATGGTATGTTTTGGGGAGGATCATCTCATGTTGATTCTATTTTTTTTTTTTGAGAGGTTTTTCGCTATAGGGCGCGTGCGCTCGCCAGACAGACAGAGAGAGACATAGAGACAGAAAGCAAGAAATCACCCCCCAGAGGGGATGGTCACACCGCAATCCCTTCTCCTCCATTCTCCTCTCGTGATCTTGGGCACACATGCACACGCGCCCGGCGTGAGTTTTAAGCCACCGGGTCCGGGATGTGAACCGCAGTCGACTACGTGGGAGTCCAGTGACATAGCCATTATGCTAACTGCTTGTTCCCTCATGTTGATTCTATCTTGAATTCATGATATTTCCTGGATCTGAATGTCTGGCTAGTACAGTCATTGTGAAAACCTGTATGGAGGGACCAGCAGTTGGCTTAATGACTGTGTCGCTGGACCCCCATGTAGTTGACTGTGGTTCAAGTCCTGGACCCAGTGTGCTTGAGCTCATGCCGGGCGTGTGTGTGTGTGTGTGTGTGTGTGTGTGTGTGTGTGTTTGTGCGTGCCCAAGGTCCTGAGAGGAGAATGGAGGAGAAGGGATTGCAGTGTGGCTATCCACCTTGGGGAATGATTTCTTGCTTTCTGTCTCTCTGTCTTTCTAGAGAGCACACATGCCCTATAGCAGAAACCTCTTCAAAAAAGAAAAAAGAAAAGAAAACCTATATGGAGATTTCTAAATTAATTAATTAATTAATGTTTATTTAGATTTGGAAAGTTTTCAGATAGTATTCCATGAAATAGATTGTCTATGCCTTTGCTCATCTCTGCACGTTCTGGAACACCCACTATGTGAATATTTGGCCACTTGATGCCTAAAATTTCTCATATGTTATCCTCATTTTTTATGGTTATCTTTTCATTGTTTTTGGTAGGTTGAATTAAGTCAGAAGTTTTCTCTTCAAGGTCAGAAATTCTTCCTCTATATGGTCTAATCTGTTATTGATACTGTTGTAGAATACAACTGAATGAACACCACCAAAGTCAGATTAAGGTTAAAGGAAGTCTTTATTAGCTGGCCAGCGACTACAGCCTGAGGCTCTGGGAATGCGAGTCAGAACTGCAGCCCCAACCGAAGTTTGAGTGGTCTTTTTTTATAGGGGGTCAGTTACCAGGGATTTCTATGCAAGCAGTCACAAAAGCGGAATCAAGCAGGTTAATTATTTCTGAGGGGAGTGGGGTTTCCATGCAAGCAGTTACATTGCTAAACAAGAGGGTTTCGGGCTAGTTAGCAAAGACAGTAGCTGGGATAGGATGTTGTCCCAGATGCGGTTTTCTGTATGGCTAGCACAAGCTATTTTCTCATGGGAAGAGCAAGCAGGTTTACAGAAGCAGATAGCCATATTAGGGTAAGGGAACAAGATGGACGAACCGTTGTTCATGTGAAAGATCTAATATGCAGCCTTCCACATTACCCCCTTCTGATTTGGAGAATCAAATAATTGATTTAGAGAAGGGGAGCAGCTCATAGTGGGAGTGGAGAACCATGAGCTTGACAGATTGGATCTGGTCCTGAACAAAGTTAATGAGAAAATGGAGGACACAAGGGCCAAAGAGAAGGGCAAGGAGGAGAAGCAGGGCAGGACCCACAACAGGAGAGATGAGGGTGGTGAGCCAGGGAGACCAAGAGAAGAGAGACTGACACCAATTACCGTCAGAGGAGCCGTGCTCCTCATACTCTAGGAAACGTTTGCAAAACTGGCTCAGGTTGTCCCTAATGACCCGAGTGGTTGGTATAGAATTGAGGCTCAAGTCCACAAGGACGGGCTGCAGAGGCCCAACAGGATTGGGGGGTCAAGGGACAAGGCCCTTCTGAATGGTAAAAAGAATACCTGGGTCCTTGCCCAGACATAAAGGCAAAGCCACCCTCCCAGGCGTCAACTGGTGATCAAGGGGTTGAACCACAAGGGGGTTGTAAGCACCAGTGGAGGAGCAAGTGTCAGTGGTCAAGACACGGTCAAGAGAGAGGGTCTGGTCAGTGTTTTTCCAAGGGGCGATCATTTCACAGCCCCAGGAGGGGCAGAAAAAGTCGGACTCAGAAGCACATTCATGGAGGGTGTCCCGGGGCAAACATAGAACTCTTGGGAGTGCATGGCCTGCTCCCTGGGCAGGCAGCCGCAGCCTGCAGCAGGGACAAGAAGCCGACTGCTCTGGGAGACTGGGGCCCGAAGAGATCACAGAGGTCAATCTGGAAAGAAGGGTCCCGGATGTTGTGACTAAAGAGACAACGGTGCCGTCCATAGTGCGGGAGAGGGTCCAGGTGTAAGAGGGAAGGTTATGTGGGGAGGGAGGGGCAGGGGGAAGGAGGAAAAGAAGTATCAGGAAAGCCAACACAATTTGCCCTTGAGGGGATCTGAGGAAGGCTGAAATTCCCATCTCTGGGTCCCAGAGGCAGCGTCAGGCGGCCGGCGATAGCTTGAGGTGGGAGCAATGAATCCAATGATGCTTCCCCATAACCTCAACAGCAGAGAGGTGCTCAGGATAATAGTGAAAGGTCCATCACAGCCAGGGTCAAGGGTACCAGGAGTCTGGTGTCTGACTCAAACTGGGGTCTCAAGGTCACGGGCCTGCTGTGAGGACAATGCAGACTCCACAAGGGCCAGTTGGTGACTGCTGATAAGGCAGTGGGTCTCAGCGAGAGTGGCTTGGAGAGCCCACAGAGAGACTATCCAGATTTGGATCCCAAGTAGGTCAACTAGTCAGAAAAGCCTGCTCAATGGTGACAGGGTCAGCGGTGGGTTGGCCGTTGGCATCCAGGACAAGTTCATGGCCTTCTCAAGGATTCTTAGTGATAAAGAGAGTCTGGAAGAGCTGTTGGCAGTTGTCCCAGGTAGGCTGATGGGTGAAGAAAATAGTCTTGATGATAGAGATTAATTAAATGCTATGGAGTTTGAGAGAAGGAGAGATTTTGGTTTTTCCAGTTTATAGGTCATTCGTAGAGAAAGGGGAATAAACCATAAAGTGCTGACCATCTGGACTTAGTTCAGAGGGTCCCATTGCTTGAGGGGAAAAGTCGACAAGGAGGCTGAGGCCCCTTAGGACACGCTGTCCCCCTCAGCTGGTTTCTTGCCCACAGAGGAGTCCTTAAGTCCTGGCCCATAAGTAGAACCAGATTGAGTATGGGGAGGACTGAAAGGGTCATCTCCGTGGGCAAGAAGTGCAGTTTCTGGTTCACTTGGGGTCTCCTTTCGTTGTGGAGAGGCGGCCTGAATATCTGTTCGTTTGTTCTTTCTTTCTTTCTGTTTATTTTGACCATTATATTTTCAATTTATTATGAACTACTCTGAATTTACTATAAGATGTAGTCAAAGTCCAAAGAAAGTCCATAGGGAGCATATTCCTTTTTTTGGAGAAGGCTAACCCTTCTAGAATCAGCATGGGAAATAATATCCTGTTGATTCTAGTAGGAAAAAATACGTAGCCAATTTCAACTCATGCTGAGGCAACTTTTTTTTACTTTTTGTTTGGTGTCAGTCTTCAAAATCAAGAGTTTAGTTCTTCTAATTCACCCAGATCTTCCTCAGTAAAAAAGATTTGTATTAACAACTCCACTTTCCTGTACCTCCCCTTTGGTGGTATCTTCCACGTCACTTCTTTCACTATTTCAGCCCTATGTCCAGAAGCCTCACTTAACTTTTCATCTTGACCTGAAGTGTGTGTACTGAATCTTTTGAGACTGGCTACAGTAATGTCTGTCTCACCTCTGTCTCTTGTGATAGTCTTATTAAATCTGTCATTTATGCTCATTGAATCATCAACCTCTTCACCACCTGTTCCCTGGACATGACAGGTGTCACTGATTTGTCCTCCTTGACTAGTTCAAGATGAAATTTTAAAAAATATGGAGTGCTTCACGGATTTATATGTCATCCTTGCCCAAGAACCATGCTAATCTTACTGTTTATTCCAGTTTTAGTGTGTATGCTGCCGGAAGTGAGCCCTGGCAATGGATTTTAAACCATCTTTGCTGTGTTTTGCTTTGAGGAGGAAATATTGCTTTTCTCTTTTGTTATCTGGACACTGGCAAGCTCCATGATAACTTTTATCACTTATTTCTAAGCACATAACCAGTGAGTCTCTTAACCTACAAAAAGTTCATGGAACATATATGTTACAAAATTATGCATGGATTTCTTGGACCAAAATAAGACTCATTCTCTCCCCGTTTTTTTTCTTTTTTTTTTTTCCACAGGGTGTGTGCTTGCTAGAGAGACAGAAAGTGAAAAATCACCTCCTACAGGAGATCGCAATGCCACAATCTCTTCTCCTCCTGGGATTTTGAGCATACAGGGCATGCACACATGCTTGGTGTGAATTTCCCGTCAGGTTCATGACTCAAACTGCAGTCGGCCATGTGGAGTCCATTGCCTTCACCACCATACCACCTGCTGGCCATATTTTAACCCCATTTTCCAAGAGCTTTGTGCAGTGCCCTGGTAGTTGTGGGAACAGCCACACAAAGGAGTCAGCAGGCAGTGTTTCAACACTTCTGAGAGGTGGCAACTGCTTGTGCTCTCAAGGGTCCCTCTGTCCTCCCCTTGTCATCTTCATTTTTCTAGACTGTGGTCTAACTGCTCACAGGGTTTCAACTGCATGTGAACAGCCTCTAGTTGGTTTTCTTAAAAAGGCATTGTTGACTGGGAAGTCTGGTGTGTATTTAAACTCTACCCTTGTTGCAAACATCAGACTTTCCCAATAGTATTTCAGAGGAGGTTTTGTCTGTTTGGGACACAGTTATTGAATCAGACTAGATTACAGAGAGCACCACCCAGATTGCTCAATGCTGATACTGCAACTTTTATTTTCTATATGTCATTAATTTATGTTCAAACATTTTGGAGACTGGTTATTGATGGAATCATTTCCATAACTACACAGCCTCCTGTGGTCCTTGTTTTCCTCTGGAGCAGGATAGTGTCAGGGGGTGCTCCTCTCACTCCTGCCAGTGAGTCTTAGCTTTGACCTCTGGTGCCTTGGTCCCACCAGCCTCTGCAACTAGCACTTACCCACCTGCCTCTCACTGTCCCATTGGGCACTCCTGGCTATTGGTTGCACTGTAGTCTGCTTAAACTCTTTCACGGTTGTAGTTTCAGGAGTACCTGGGGCAGGGACCAACAATTGCCTCCTGGGGGAAATATATTTCTGGACCTTGAGGCTTTGCAGTTGGGCCTTGTCACTTATTTCTCAGACTCCTTAAGTCTCATGGATGTGGTAGTGCCTGGAGAGTGAGGTAACAGCTGCCTCCTCAGTGATTATCTCAAATCCCAGACTCTGCAGCTCAGTGGTGTGACTGCCCCAGTGCCTGGTAGTCTCAGCTCACAGCTCTAGCAGCATCCATGGTGGGGAAGTGAGGAGGTATCCTCTGCCTCCCTGGTGAATAACCCAGTTCCTGGACTTAGGGTCTCGGAGTTGGGATTGTGCCTTAGACTGCAAGTCTCTCTCAGCTTCAGTGTTCCAGTATCACCTGGGATGAAAAGCCAAAACTGCCTCCCTAGAAAATACCTCAGTTCCTGGACCCTGGATCTCAGTGACAGACAGTGCCACTGCCCGCTAGTCTCTTTCAGATTTCAGATTCAGGACTCTAGTAGTGCCTGGGACAAAAGGCCAAGACGGCCTTCCTGGCAGGTATCTCAGTTTCTGAGCCCTGGGTCCCAGAGGCAAGTTCATGCCACAGTCTGCTAATTTCTCTCAGATTTGGGGCTTTACTGACACTCAGGGTAGAAGACCAGAACTGCCTTCCTAGTGAATATCTGTCTTTGGACCCTAAGTCCCAGCAGCAGGACAATGCCAGGGCCTACTAGTCACTCTCAGACTCAGAGCTTCAGCCGTGTCTGGGGTAAAAGACAAGAGCTGCCATCCCAGCAAATATCTGAGTTTTCCAATGCTGGTGGCTGGACCTTTCCATAGCCTGCCAGTCACCCTCAGACTCAGGGCTCCAGCAGTGCCCAGAATGAGAGGCTAGAACTGCCTACCTGGTGAATGTCTCAGTTTCTGGCCCCTAGGTCCCAGCAGCAGGGATGAGCCACAGCTTGTTAGTTTCAGGCTCATGACTCCAGCAGAGTCTAGAATGGGGAGATAACTGCTGCCTTCCTGGTGGATATAACAGTTCTTGGATCTTGGGACACAGTAGCAGAACTGTGTGCTTTGGCCCAGTGCCTCAGGCAGGGTAGTCAGGCTTGGTGCCTAGCAGCAACCACTCTCAATGACTTTTTCCAAAGGCCAACCTTAAAAATCTCTCAAGAAGGCGCACACCGTACACCCACACAGTGAGAAGTATTAGGGCCGGCAGCAACAGCCGTCGTCCCTGGGAGATTTGACAGTCAGATCATCACCTGCTCTTGGGTTCCCACACAGAAAAACATTTGCACACATATCCGCACATTAACATTTATTCACCTTTGCATGCACTCGATCAGACACACACTTGCACACTCACCACCATTTTCCTGGAAATCTAATTTTTAAAAATTTTAATTGACAAATATTATATCTGCATGTATTTAAGAGTTACACTGTGATGTGCTGATTATATGTATCTACTGTGGTATTATTAAATCAAGCTAATTATCGTATCCATTATCTCACATACCAGTTTTTGTGGTGAGACCATTTGAAATGTACTCTTAACAATTTTGAAATATACATTATTATTGACTATAGTTACCATCCTGTGTAATATATCTCAAAAACTTATTCTCTTGTCTAACTGAAATTTGGGGCCCTTTTACCAACATCTCCCTATTTACTCCCACTACCATTTCTGGTAAACACCATTCTACTTTCTACTCTCTTTTAGATTGGTCATATAAGTAAGATAATGCAGTATTTGACTTTCTGTGCCTCGCTTGTTCCATTTAAGGTTCATTTTCTTCCTTTTTTAGGCTGAATAATATTCATTTGTGTATATACCATGTTTCTTTATTCATTCATCGGTCAGTGGACATTTAGGTTGATTCCATATCTTGGCTATTGTGAATAACGTGGCAATGCACGTATCTCTTCAAAATACTGATTTCACTTCCTTTATCCCAGTAGTGGGATTACTGGATCATATGGCAATTTTTAATTAATTAATTAACTAATTAATTAAGGAATCTCCATATAGGTTTTCATATGACTGTACTAGTTGTCATTTTCACCAAGAGTGTACAAGTGTTTTCTCTTTTTTCTTCTTTTTTTTTTTTTTGGAGAGGTTTTCACTATAGGGCGCATGAGCTTGCCAGACAGACAGAGAGAGACACAGAGACAGAAAACGAGAAATCACGCCCCAGGGGGGATGGTCACGCCGCAATCCCTTCTCCTCCATTCTCCTCTTGGGATCTTGGGCACACATGCACACGCACCCAGCATGAGTTTTAAGCCACCGGGTCCAGGACGCGAACCACGTTCGACTACGTGGGAGTCCATCGACATAGCCATTACGCTAACTGCTGGTTCCCAGTGTTTCCTTTTCTTGACACTCCGTCAACAGTTTTATCTTTCATCTTTTTTGTAATAGCCATTCTAATGAGGTGATATGTCATTAAAAATGTTTTCATTTGAATTTAAATAAAGCATTTTAATATTTTAAAAGCCCATCAGATGACTGATACATGGCCAGGTTTGAGAACCGTTGATTTAATGGTACGTATGTGGTTCTTTCTGGTTTTATTTCATTTTTTCAGAGAGATTTTTGCTGTAGGGCATGTGCGCTCACTGGAGAGACAGAGAGAAACAGACAGAAAGCAAGAATTTAGTCCCCTACCCAAGGGAGATGGGCACACTTCAATCCCTTCTTCATTCTCATCTTAAATTTTGGGCATGCACACACATGCATCCAATTTGAGTTTCAAGCCACCAGGTCCATGACTCGAACCACGGTTGACTATGTGGGAGTCCAGCAACCTAGCCATTAAACCAAATACTCCTTCCATATGTCTGGTTTTAAAAAACAGAAACATGTTCAAAGTATCTTTTAGTCTCATTTTAACTGACATATAATATTTGTACATATTCATGGGGTACAGTGTGGTTTTTCAATACATGTATGCAATATGTAATGACCAAACCAGGATAATAGACATATCTACCTCCTCAGCATTTTCCATTATTTTATATTATGAACATTCAAAATTTGTCCTCTTGAAATGTACATTGAATTGTCATCAACTGTAGTACTCTACTGTGTTATAGTACTCTAGAACTTATTTCAGTTAACTACTTGCACTCTTGTATCCATTAACCAGGATTTCCCTATCTCCCTCTCTTCCATCTTATTCCTAGCTTCTGGTATTCACCTTCGTAACCTCTACTACTGTGAGATCAGATCTTTCACTGTAACCAATAAGTGAGAACATACTGTATTTGTCTTTCACTGTCTGGCTTATTTCACTTAGTATCATTTTCTCTAAGTTCTCCCATGTTGCTGCAAATGACAGGATTTTGTCCTTTTTAAATAGTCAAATAGTACTCCTAATAGGTTTTCTTTATCCATCAGTTGTTGGACACTTAAGCTGATTCCAGATTTTAGCTATTGCAATTTGTTCCATAGTAAACAAGGAAGTATAAATGTCTCTTAATACATTTCCTTTTCTTGATGTAGATATCTAGTAGTGGGATTACTGGATCATAAAGTAGTTCTATTTTTAGTTTTTATTTGATCCATACTGTTTTCCATAATGGCTATAATAATTTACATTCCAAGAATTACCCTTTCTCCACAACCTTGGCAGCATTGTTCTTCATTGTTGTTGTTTGATAATAGCCATTCTAATTGGGGTATGGTGATACCACACTCTTGTTTTGATTAATATATCTCTTGTGATTAATGATATTGAGCATTTGTTCATATACTTGGCCATTTTTATGTCTTCTTTCAAATGAGAACTGTTTGTTTAGATCAATTGCCCATTTTTTAATGAGATTTTTTCTTTTTGCTAGTAAGGATACAAAGATTCTGTAG